TGTTTGCTCCGGTCTTTTATGATAGTGCCGGGAGGCTGACTTCAGTGGCATGATCTTGTTTATGCATGGGTCGAAGGCCTTTTTAATTCCATCGTACATACCATGGATGTTACCATAGTCAGAAGTTAAGCCAGTAGTCGTTGGCACAGTGTTGAGCAAACCGTTCGGCATCGTCTTTGGGCTTCTTGGTTGCAGGGAATGTCTTCTTAGAAGGCTCCCTTTTGTAGTTCAGTGATGAGTGCCATTTCTCTGACCTCTATTGCTGGTTCCATATCGGCAATGCTGGCTTCAAACCGGTCTGGGTTCCGCCTTTCTCTTCTGGCCGCAGAGGTCTGGGATTGCTGTTTTGGCAGAGCTGATGTGAGGACGACCCTTCTGCTTTGGCTGTAGACGCACTTTGCATCCAACCAGGGAGTGGGCAGTAACGTGGTCGGGACTGTGGAAGCTACGTGTGACGAGTACGCTGTAAGAAAATCTGAGTGACGATGAGGTCCAGCTGGTGCCAGTGGCGGGATCAAGGGTGCCGCCAAGAAGATCGGCAGTGAAGCTTGGTGGAGAAGAACATGTTAGTTGTGCAGAGGTTGTGAGAGGAGCATAACCTAGAAGCCTCTGTCCGTTATCGTTCAAATTGTTATGCCGAAGTGGCCAATGAAGCTGGACCAGAAATCGAGGTCAGAGCCCAATCGGGCGTTAAACTTGCCAAGTACGTACAGTTGTCCTATGGCAAGGTTGCCTCGATGAAGATGTCAAGTTCCTTGTAGAACTTGTCCGTGGTCTTCCACAGAAGCCAGAATATTGGAGCGTAAACGCTCAGCAGGTTTACTGGCCCCAAGGAGGCTGGTGGCTGTTGAGGATGCGGACTCTACCACTGGATGGCGCTTCCACAGAGGACCGAAGGAAGTTCCTCACGGCGAATCCAACGCCATGCAGCCTTGGTTCCTTAGACTCCTAACCCTGCCAGAAGAACGTGTAGTCCAGTTCCTTGGGGTTGGCGTTTGAGGCTAGTCTTGTTTCCTGTAGTGCAGCAATGCCGATGTTTTTCTGGAATCATCAACTTGTTGCAGATCATTGGAGAGGCCAGGACATTGTCTTGACATTTCAGCTTGCTAGGCGCAAGATGGGAGATATCTTCTTCCTATCTTTGCCTGGTGCAGGCTTACAGTCTGCTTGTCGGTTTTTTCCTCAACTCCCCCAAGCACGCATTTAAGCAGGCAGATTGTGGTGGGTAAGCACCTAACTGACTGGGCGCTGCCCAGCTTGGAGCAGGCGGTAGCTGACCAATGGGACCACGATGGTCCCTTCCACTGTCGGAGACAACCCGCAGTGCCTGGACCTACGCCAATCGGTCCTGGCTTATAACTCGTAACTGCCTCCTCCTGTGGTGATTCTGTCGCTGCAAACAGCGATACTGGAGTGACCTCTCAAGGGCCCAGGCCTGGATGAAGTATTTGGAGATCCTGGGATGCCCAGTCGTCAGAATTCCCCTCTCGCCCTCACCGATGTAGTGAAAAGGAATGCGGAACGATATATTGGCACCGGCTTGGCTGCAAGAGCTGCCGGAAGAAAGTCGATGCGACTTGCAACCACCTTGGGGGCTCCACTCCGGACTTTTCCTCAGGGTTGACTCCCGAAGCCTTTCCTGTGAAGGGGTATCCTACAAGGCAGCGGAGGTTTCAAATCAGAGTTTACCTTCTCCTAGATGAACTGACTTTCCACGATGACGAGTCCCACCAACCCGAAGCAACTGGTTCAGAGGCGCCTGTGGCCCACCATCAAAGCTTCTCCTCACAGTAGAAGCAGTTCCACCGGGTCTAGAGACTAAGCCTCACGAGCAGACCAGGAGCTGGACAAAGTTGTCTGAGGCCTTTTAAGACGCTCGCCATATGGGAGCATTTTATAAACAGTGGCGCTTATCTGCACTGCCACCCAGCGCTATGACAACCTTGGACCTATAAGTATATCCTACTAACCAAGCGCTAGAGAGACATGTGAGGTCTGTACGTAAAAGACCAAGGGTCGATGTTCTTAATGAGAGATTCCTTACGCTACCGAAGATGTTTAGAAAATACGTATCTCACCGGATCCCAGACAGTAAGAACGCAGATGATCAGTGCACAGTTCGCATTAAGAGTCAACCCAGCGTTCACAAACGCGTTAACCTCTTTCAAAAAAAAAGAAAGATTTGGAAGAAACTGGCCAAAAAGTGTACGTTAGCTCTCACAGAAAAGCAAGCGGCCTTAAAGATTGCACACTGGTAATCATCTGGTTCAGTGTTCACCCATTACTTAAAGAAGATTTAACCGACAATGGAGCAATCCGATTGTTTCATTTTAGTGGTTGGCCCTCTGAATTAGCTTATTCGTGTGATAAAGCACTGAAGGAATATCTTTATAGTCAATCGATCACAAGAGAAATCCGTCACTGCTTTTTCACTTCACAGAATGCCTAAATCTATTACTTGGTGTTTATATTT